TCTTCCGTGGAGGTCAACAAGGCTTTTTGGTGAAGTAGCAAAAGCATAAGGCCGTATTTCTAAATTTGGTTAATCAAATGCCTCCTGCATTCACCGAGTCATCACAAGGTGATGCGCAATAGCACTAATTATTTTAATTCCTAATTATAAAGTTAATCAGGGTGATTCTCAAATCAGAGGAAAATAAATTAAGATACAATGGTATTTACTGATCCCCTGTGAGATCTCACAGGTTTCTTATTAAGTCGCACTGTTAAGTGTTTGTAATTTGGAGACAGGAAGACAGAGCAATCCCAACCGTGAGTCCCCTCTGCTCCATGAGGAGGCGGAGATGAGGACCCCGCTCCCAACTGGATCTCCAGCACTCACACCATGCTGGCCACACTTTGGGAGCCAAATACATGTTTTCTTGAGGGAGTAAGTGGAAGAATGAATGAAGTCAGCCCTTAAATCTTTTCTTCCTCAGCTGTAGAATAGAAGGATGATATTTATTTACCACTGGTTGTGTGAGAATTAAATAATATATGTAAAGTGTTTAGCACAGGGAAGAACATATGCTGATAATTCCATGACTGGTAATTGTTACCTTCTCACAGGAAGGCCATATCTCTGATTCACAGAAACTGATTATTTCCCACTCGCCTTTATTTTCTTATGTGGTCAAGTGTAAGTTTTACTGGTATTAACAAATGAAACTCTTGTTCAGGATAAAGCTGCTGAAGTCTGCATACCTGAAAAATAAGGGGATTCTAGATGTTCATTGACATTTTATCCATCTCTCTCTGGGCCAGAGGAGCAAATCTCCATTGTTTCAGAGGACTCCCCTGTAAGGGCCCATAAACAGGATTTTGTTCTGAATTTTCATTTTCTGAGTAAGAGCAGCACTACATGCTTAGTTCCTTCTCTTTCCACCTCATTCTTATGTTAAACTAATTCAGGAAGAACATCCCTCACCATCCAGTCAATTGAGGGCAGCAGTTCTGGAGGCATGTGAATTTTAAATACTCAGGGTCAGTTAATTCTAAAAAATTATGAAGGATAATGTTTGCTCAATATCCCCAGCTTCCAGCCTGTGAAATGTAAGGAAAAATGCAGAGCTTCAGTCTTGAAAGGCCCTTTATTACTTTTTCTCTTTTTCTTCTTACTTAGTCTAATGACTCACATTCCAGATGGTTCTGCCCAATTTTAGAATTATTATGATCTACTGTGTAGAAAAAAAACCATGACATTTTACATACAGTATAGCTTACATAATTTTTTCTTCAGGGCATGAGAAAAATACAAAACTTATTGCCAAAGAATTTCTGGCTCCTTTAATGTTAGGAGATATACAACTTTAGTATTTATCGTTAGGGTATGTTGTAATTTACTAATTTACTATATAAGTCTCTGTACAGCGAATGAGTTTACATTCTTAAAGAATACTTAATGATATGAAAAAATATTCTCAAAACAATGAAAGCACAAGATGAAAATCAATACAGACAACGTAATTCCAATTTTGTTTTTTAAAAAGGTCATCATGAATGAAAAACAAAACAAAACAAAAAACAACAAAAAAAACCCACAGGCGAGAACTACCCCCAAATGTTCATTTCATCATTAGTTACCCTCCTTTTCTTTTTTGTGAAACATGGCTTCTTCCAGTCATAGGGACACTGTCAGTACAACCAAGAAACTTTACTAAGTCAACCATGTTTCAGCACTTATGAATCTTCAAAAATAAAGACAACATATGCATTCAATGAATTCTAATAGAACACTTGATGACTCAGCATTTCTGACAAGAAGTCCTGGATGGGGTCTCTTTTTAGTTCCTCCAAGAAAGGTCAGAGATTCCTCTGTGAACAGGAGGAGGCCCAAGTGGCAGAAATCAGTTTGCCCTGGGCTGTCTCAGTTCTGGGCCCTGCCTGGAAGTCAGGGGACTTAGGAAGATCCACCCTTTAAATGCAGCCCCACCTTTGGAGCTGGGCCCAGGCACTTTGACCAGTCTCCTGGAAGAGGTGCACAGGTATCATCCGTTGTGACAACGGGCAGGGGCTTTATCCTGATTTAGCGGCAGATCAGTGTCCTACCCAAATCCTGTTGTTACTCATACAGTGTTAAACTGATATATATATATATTTAAAAATCCATGTTACCTGCTTACTGAGTATTTTTCCTATGGAAACTACTAACCAGGTGGTTTTCTTCTATTAGGGGACAAATGACTCCCACATCGCTCACTATTTTGCATCTTTTTCTCACGGTCACATAGCCATACTAAAATTTATTGGCTTTTTTAAAAGACTCAGTCGCAGTGTTAACTTGAATTCTTTCCTACATCTATGACACTTAGAACTTACTTCAGTACAGTCTCATCTGGACAGGTTCACATACAGAGGCTGTAATGCCGCCCTCCTCTATGGGAGGAGCTGGAACTTAAAATAGAACATTCCTCCAAACAGAAAACATCTCGGAGGGTTAACGAAAATGAAGAATTTCAATTGGCTTTGAACATAGCCCCGTGCAAAATAATCACCTCACAAATCACCCTCTCTTGTATCTACTTATCAAAATATTTATAAAATGTCTTTGCACTGTCATACCCAACTAAGCCTCTTGGTATTTACTTTTTCAGTAGGATTCGCTGTCCTTACACAAAGTCTGACGTAAGGACCAAGTACTGACTTTTAGAAAGTGATCTCTCTCTCCCTCTCCCTGTCCCTCTCCCTCTCCCTCTCCATCTCCCTCTCTCCCCCACATTCTGCTTTTGTCCCTGTCTTTTTCTAGATATCCAGTCAAAGTGCAGATGGAGAACTAAAATATCATATAGCTTATTATTATAGGTTGTGGATAATAAATTACACAATCTGATAACTGTGCCCTGATATATGATCCCCTTCCTTAAAAAAAAAGTACATTTAAAACCTGATTTACAGTTAAGGAAGTCAATATTTTCCTTTTAAAAATAATATATATCAGTAGGAAATGGAAAGTTCAATGGAGATTGGCAATTTGATATTGTTTACAGTGGGAATAAGTAATTCTAGGGCATCCTGCAGCTCTCTGAAGTCAAAACATCAAGGGGACCTATTGAGCTTTAAAAAAATTCATGACTTTAAGGAGATAATCCTAATGTTGAGTGTGGATAGGAAGGGCCCCAAAGTGTGACAGAAAAAGGATGTTGAAAAAGAATAATCTAGGGCTGGTGGAGTGGCTCAGTTGGTTAAGAGCTCGCTCAAGAGTGTGAGCTCTGAGCAACAGCGGTTCACGTCCCAGCCCAAGCTGAGCTGCCGCTGAGCTGCCAACAGGTGGCAGGATGGCTCAGCTGAAAATAAAAAATAAAAAAATAGTCTATTACAAGGATGATCATAGTACTCAGGAAAAAGGAAGTGGCAGGCTTAAATCCACATAGATAATCTCCAGGGCTTTAGTAGCTCATGATGTCTCAGGGGGACCAATGTACCTGGGTGATAGTGAGGGATGCTTAGTCCTCTGCACTCTGGCCTCACTCGGAAATAGCCTGAGCCACATGGGCCAGTCCTTAAAGTGAGACATTAAGTCATGGCCCTCCATGGTGTCAGTTCCGTGGAGGGGGAGGGGGTGAGTGGTGAGTCTGTGGGCTGCAGGGTGTTCTCTAAGCTTATGATACACACTTTGATATATATATATAGTTATATATCTCTTTATATATTTGTTTTATATATTTTTTTCTTTTTTTTTTTCTTATGATATATACTGAAATTAAGATGAGGTGATACTGGATTAGAATGGGCTGTAAATCCAATGACTGGTGTCCTTATAAGGAGAGAGAGATTTGGAGACAGAGAAACACAAGAAGAAAGAACACCAAGTGACCATGGAAGCACAGATTGGAGTGATGCTGCCCTAAGCCAAGGGTTTCTGGCTGCCACCAGAAGCTGGGGAAAGACAAGGAAGGGTTCTTCCTGAGCCTGTGGGGGAAGCACGGCCCTGCTGGTAATCTTGATTTCACAATTCTAGACTTCAGACCTATGAGACGATGTATTTATTTTGTTGTAAGCCACCCAAGTTTGTTGTACTTTGTTATGGCAGCCCTAAGAAATGAATACAATGATTAAAATATATCCTCTAGGCTTCTCTTCTTTTGCGATCTGAGGTTGAAACGATTTGTCCTGAAGGGGTAAGGGGACTAAGGAGAATTTGCTGCTTGGGGGGTAGATTCCAGGAGATTTTTCCATGATGATCAGATGAACAATATACGGTGGAGCAAAATCTAGAGAATATTTGACCAGGGTGATTTCAGGAAGAGAGAAAGGGCCAAGAAGCCTGGGAGTCAGCAGGTGAAACAATCCAATGAGCGAGGCAGTAGATAGTGACATCCAGAAGCCGGGCCTTGCTGTCCTATCCACCATGGAAGCCCTGTCTAGTCAGATGTAAAGCCAGGGAAAATTCAACATAGGGACCTTGGAAGGGCTTGGAAGTCCTGCTGTCAGGTGTATGTGTAGTGATGGGAACACTCCCTGTGGTCCTGTGGGGCGCCCATGAGCAAGAGGCATCGCTATAACAATGAGGGACTGTTGTGGATGGCTGTGACTGAGAAGCAAGAAGGAAGGATTTTTAGAGCAAGAGTGGGGCTCAGTGATGCTTTCCTCACAGTGTTCCCCAGCAAGATAGTCCATTGTAAAATAATGCAGAGTACAGAATTCCAAAACCATCACTCTGCAAGAGGCAAACCGCATTGTCTTGTAATCCCTTGTGCCTCCCCTCCTTCCTCTGATTTCCCCACTGGCCTCCTTGTCAGTCAGCTTAAATCCAGGGTGTTCATGCAGAATCTCGAAACAGAAATTCTGCTGGGGACATAATGGGGATGAATGTCAAGGAGGGATCAGAGTACACGCATATTCTTTGGTGCCCATCATTTTATTTCCTTAACCTCACACTGAGATATCTTTTTGTTAAAATACATGCACAGATTTCCTCCTGGCCTTGTTGACCCCAAGCCCAGGCAGTCGCGGTTCCCCACGAGTACAGCGTACCTTCTGAAGAAATGCACCCAGATCAGAATGGTATATGAGTCTGTCCTAGACTGGCTCTAGAAAAGAAATGTTACAATAAATAGGTGGGTGGGATCTGCCCCACGATCTCAAAACAACCAAAAATAGCAGTGAAATCAAGCTAAGGAAAACTTTATCATTATATACAAGTTCTGACAATTAAGTTCACAAACTCACCCTAGAAAAAGTGCTACACACCTCATTGCTGAATATCAGTATGGTCACCCTCGAAGTACTCCCCTTGGGAAGCTATGCACCGATGCCAGTACCTAGTCCACCCTTCAAAGCAATTTTGGAACTCTTTTTCTGGAATGGCCATCAGAGCTGTGGTTGTATTACCCTTGATGTCCTGAATGTCATCAAAATATCTTCCTTTCAATGTTTCCTTTATCTTCGGGTAAAGACAGAAGTCATTGGGGGCCAGATCAGTGAGTAGGGAGGGTGTTCCAATACAGTTATTTGTTTACTGGCTAAAAACTCCCTCACGGACAGTGCATGTAAGCTGGTGCATTGTTGTGATGCAAGAGCCATGAATTGTTGGCAAAAAGTTCAGGTCATCTAACTTTTTCACACAACCTTTTCAGCACTTCTAAATAGTAAACTTGGTTAAGTATTTGTTCAGTTGGTACAAATTCATAATGAATAATCCCTCTCATATCAAAAAAGGTTAGCAACATCGGTGCAACAAAGTTCGCGAACTTAATAGTCAGACCTCTTATATACTTGTTACTTTACAAGATTCATACCTACTTCTCAGGGAAAGGCTATGGAAAGGAAACTATGCAAATACTTGCCATTGTTTTTAGTTTGTTACATAGCATAACCAGTCACTGTAATTATATGGAAAAAGGTAAATCAGGGCTGTTTACCCAGGGTTGGTCTTAAGTGGGGGTGACTTTGACAGCCATTTTCCTGATTCATTTCCACTTTCCTTGCCCCTTCATTTTAAACAAACATTCTCTAACAAAGCTTCTTTACCACTGATCCCCATTTAATAGAATGAAAGCACGCAGTCCAGCAAAGGCCACAGTGTTAATACGCTTTATACCTGCCATTCCCAATCTCCTCTGTGCTTTTCTAGTCCTTTCCATATCTGCACAGAACAGAACAGAAGAGGAGGGAGCTATAAAGGGCAAGAGGGAGCAAACCCATTTCCTGCCTGATGAAGTTGGCTCTCACGGCGTGTTCTCCCCTTCTCTCCATACTGAGTGCTCTGATAACTTCTCTCCACCCAAAGTCAATCCGTTATGTAAGAAGGTCCTCAAGTCCCCTTTCTCAAAGAATCTTTCCTTAATATTTACACCAGCTCTTGATCCTTTCTTTCTCTGCAGCTTGAATCTTTGTTGCCCAGAATCTTGTCGCCAATCGAAAGTCACCTTGCAGGGTCTGCTCTCTGCAATTAAGGGGGTTGAAGTGGTTGCAGTAGCTTATCTGACTATTTAAGGCTCGAAAATGTGCTAACGTAAGTTGAATTTATCTCTCAGGTAAATTATATTTTAAGGGAGTCATTTCTTTTTTCTAAACACAGATGTTCCCCAACCTCCCTTCCCCCCAGGAATTTCAGACCAGGTAGGAAGTGAGGGTCTTGGGATATGGGGACCTACTTTGAGGATAGTGGGAAGTTGTCAGATGTCCTCACATCCTTTCATGAGGCAGTTGCCCAGTCAACCTATTTCAAGGGATGGCGCTGATTTTGTGGTGAGAAGCAATATGTATTTCTACAGATAAATCAATCCTCTAACAGCAATAAGTACTGTCTTTTGACATCCTAGGAGATTTGCTTCAAATAAATCACAGTAAGCTATTTTTTTCCCCTTCTGGGCAGAATACTATTTGCAGATATCTGCAAATTTGGGAAGAGAGCTTGTTTCCTAAATGAAACTATTCTTACAACAAGGAGAAAAAGGCAAACTGTACACACACATTCACACGGAATCCCTCCAAGACTTCATTTTATTTCAACTACTTGTGTTATAAACAATATCTGATGAAAATCTCACTAAAAAAATGCATCTGCTTCTATGTTAAACTTTGGTTAAATTGCCATTCCTGGAGTATATTCCTGTGTGTGTGTGTGTGTGTGTGTGTGTGTGTGTGTGTGTGTGTACACTTTTGTGCCCTGTGTCTATGATGGATCAAAAAAAATATTTACGTACAGGTAACTAAAATTCTGTGCATATATGCCTTGATGATTTTTAGATTTAACAGTTGCAATTAAAATGTTTCATAAAAATGTTTAGAATTTAATTTCTAATGTTACCAAGTCCCCAGCAACACAGTTGTAGTATTTATTGCAGCCAACATTTACCACGCCTACTGTGCATCAAGCTCTTTTCTAAGCTTTTATATTAACTCAGGTAATCCTCCTGATAACACAGGGTGGGTCCGTTGACAGGTGCTAAGTTCCCCAGGGCTAAGGAATGGGGGGAAGGTCAGGCAGCCTGTTCCTGGAGTGATTGAGTGCTCAGACACACTCTGCTATGGCTGCATTAAAAGTTCCCCATCGTCATAATTCCAAATAGTTTGCTCATCGTGGCTTCTTGAGTGTGTGGATATAGTCAATGAAGAAGCAAGTGCAGTAAACTTTGTAGTTGTGCCATCCTTAAAAATCACTAACCATTGACCTTCGTGCAGGTGTGACAGCGCAAGTCTGGGCTTGTGCCAAACTAAAAAGAAAAAAAAGAAAAGTATGCTTTGCACCTAAGGGAATCATAAGATTAAAAGAAATAGCAAATCGATGTCCTTGTTTAAAAGTGAAGGGTAGCAGAACATACCATCACAAAATATATGCCACTTAAGTATATACTGCCTATTTTGAGCTGTAGACACTCGAAAAAGAGCAATGCAGGGAGAGGCTTTCTCTGAACCCCCCTTATCCCCCTAAGGACAGACCCTCCAAGAGGAACTCAATTGTCATAAAACCCCTCCTGGGAGCTTCATCAAGGAGGACTTCCACTTGTCACAGGACAGGAGACTGGAAGTTGACACCATGCCCAGACACACTTTGTCAGGAACCATCATACCTCCCGTCAGCTCTTCTAAGGGCTCATTCATCTTTCCTAAAAATCATTTCCTCTCCCCTTTCCCTGTGAAGGTGGTATTTAAGTTTAAATTCTAAGCCACCTGGGGGATTTACTTATTTTTCCCTGGGTATCTCCCATGCATATATGAAGTACACATATTAAAAAAACTTGTTTGCTTTTCTCATGTTAATCAGTCTTTTATTACAGGGGTCTCAGCTAAGAACCCAGGAAGGTAGAGGGAAAATGATTTTTTTCCTGCTCTGCAAAACTCTTCCCTGGTCTGTGAGTGCCCTGGGACCACTAAGGTAAAAGCCTGTTCATGAAGAAACTGGGTATTCTAGAGGTTATCGAGTAGACCTCAGGACTCAGGAGACAGTAGGCCGGGAAGGCTTGTTTGAAGCCAATGACAGTCACTGGTCACAGCATTAGTTTCCATTTGTATACTTTCACAGTCTGAAAATGAAGCTTCAGACAAAACACCTTTCCCCAAAGGAGCCCATGCGTGCTCAGTGGACACAGGTACAGGATTTGTGCTGTGGAGGACACCAGCCCGGGGCGTTTCCTTCAGCCCAGGGCCTCCCTGACACAATCCACTCAAACACGAGGGTACTCCAAGACTACACTCAAGATGCACTCATCCATGTTGGTCACCTACTCCCCGCACATTCACTGCAGAGCAAATAAACCAAGTCATCCCCACCACAGCTCACTGTCAGCAGTGACTTGGAACAAGGAACTACGAGGAACTGGTAGTGCAAGTTGAAGTAAACTGAAAGGTTTCCCAAGAAGAAAGCCTGCCCCATTTTACCTAACAATCCCACACTTATCGGCATAATTTCCCCCTGTGCCCCATCACTAACAACATCTTTACTCCAAGTTAGCATGTCGAGTGGGGCCCAATAAAAATGTCGGTGTTCTGGGTTGCCTTTAGCAACACCTACTAATCAGAGCTTCTAACCTCTTTTACTGAAGAACAGTAACCAAGGTACGAACTGGAGACATCCACTGGCATCGAGACTGCTCACAGTTTCTCCATTTTCAGTGATTACTTATTTAAGGGCTTTAAAAGCACTGTGTCTTTCGCTGTTTTTCAGGGCAAGATAGAAGGAGGGGTTGATTTTCCAATGATTGTTTAGACTTGGCATTTAAACTTAGACTTTCCACTGCTTTCAAGTCTCAGGTTTGGGGCTTAGAGAGCTGTTGGTAGGGCGAGCAGCAGCTATCCAGCCCTGACTGCTGATGTCTGCTGCAGGACTGGAGAGAGGCAGGGCGAGGAGACAATGGGATTATCGGGAGCCGGGCTCCTCTTTCCTCAATCAGTGTCAAGACTGTCTGCTCCACTAGACCCTGGAGGCCCTAGAATGGCTGTACTGTGTAGGGAGGACTGTCCTGACAATACAGGTGCAATTCAAAAGAAATGAGATTTTTTTTTTTTTAAAGTTGGAGGGTAGACAGAGGAGGGCAATTTTAACCTTAAACACACACACACACACACACACACACACACACACACACACACACACACACACACAAAAACCACCTTAAAACATCATCTTTTCAAAACATAAGTGGTTTTTGTAAGCTCCCTGACAGCTCAGAGGTCCTGATTCTAAAGCGCGTGTAGGAAGCTTAGGTGCATATGGTGTGGTCCCAGCATCAGAGAAGGTAGGGTGCCTTCACAGGGATTTACATTTTACACAGGTGGGAGGGCAGGTATAAGGAATTAAAGGACCCAAAAATCAGGTTCTGTCTACTGTCTAAAGACCTAGACCTCCAATGGAGCTCTAAGGTAAAATTTTTTTTTAAAGTAATAATATAATAATACAGTGAAACTTCCTTTCAATAAACAAACCTTTCCACTCTCTACTCAGCAGGTAGAAACACACTTTGTTGACTCCAAACATGAGACAAAAAGAGCACAATGGCTTACTAGTTTGAAGAACTAGCTCACTAGCTGCTTACCCCTCTCAATGAAAATGACTTTAAGAAATACACTGCAAGATGAAAGCTTTGAAAGAACCTACAGAATTAAGAAGGAATAGTAATAGAATAGTAATAGAATGTGTGTGTGATGTCCATATCCTCTGCCTACACTTGTGATTTAATCAAGGCAGCTTGTTTGCGTCCAGCTTTTAACAGACAGATACTGTGCTGACCCTAGGAGGGCACATTATTCACATTTGTAGCAATTTTCATGTAAATGATTGCGCTGTTAACCTCCCAGGGTCATTCAGATATTTTCTGAGAAATTGGCTGCTTTCAGTTCTTCCTTAGCATGCCATGTGTTTCATTTTTTGTGTGGAACTGATGACAAGCCGAGCATTCCAACAGGAGTTTAGTTAATTTAACTAAGCTCTGTCAGGAGAAGTGAAGTGATGGGGCTCAGAAGGCCAGCTCCAGCCCAGGGTTTTTCCTTCTTCCCTACCAGAAAAAGCAAAACATGCAGTGTGGTTTTGCAACTGGGCAACTTAGAAATATTTTTTAGCTTTCTGCATTGCCAAGTGTTTCCGGAAAAAAAAAACCCTCTTTTCTTTCTATTTCATGCCAAAGAATGTTACCCCTTAAATATTTGTTCCCATATCTGGCTACATGTCCAAGATTTCTTCTTTTCTAAGAATAAATAAGTTTCTGGGGTCTAAAAATGCCACTTGCTATCAGATTAAACATCTCTTTATATAGAAAAAGCATTTGAAACATTCCACCAGTGAGTCTAAGGAAGGATCCTTACTTAATATGATTTTTTTAAATTAAATTTCATTAAATATTTGGTCTTTGAATTCCTTTTGTGACTGAGTGGAAAGTTCAAGCTTATTTTATAACACTTTCAAGTCTATTTTTTTTCTCACTGCCCTCATACTATTATTCCCTTTTACTAGAAAGCATTAAACAAGAATTAATTTGTCTTTGACCAAAATAATACCTTGGAAATGAATCCAATGCCAGGGAACCCTCTGGGTTCCATTCTTTATTTGCATATTTAGCTGGAGTTGGAAGGGTTCAGCTGTCAGGATTTCAAGAACTTCAGCATTAAAAAAGTGTGAACGTACAAATTAGCTGTCAAGTTTGATAGAAAGTGAATAATGCAGCCCTGAGCTGACAACTTGTTTCCATTTCTGTTGTCCTACTGATCTTGCTGTTAGGTAAAGCAAGGCACACAGGAACACTGAAAAACAGCAATTTGTAAGGAGTTGGTTTGGTATTTTCTTTTTTACCAGCTAAAAATGGTAATTACATTCACAAAGTCAAAAGGCTAATAAACGGTCTTGGAGTCGAGAATATGGGACAAAACAGTAGTATCGTGCTTGAAGAAGCAGTAACAGCTGTACAACTAAAATATGGTCAATATTCATAGAGAAATAAATTGTATGGCATTAGCTCTCATAAAACCACTAACAACCTGGTAAAGTACACGACAGATTTAAAGCTTCACATTGGGCATCTTAATGTTAGGTTTTAGTTATTGATATTTAATGAATCATTAAGTAAATCTACTGTAAGCAAAAGGCATGCAGGATATATATACGCTGATATATAATTTTATTGCTCATTAGCTGGTTAATTTTTAAAATCTTTGTGTGTTCGTCAGTGTGTAAAGGTGTGTGTATGATCTGTATGTGATGGATCTATGGTCCTTTATAAAAGGTTCCTTCTAAACTTCCTGGCTTGCAAATCTTTGTCACTCTTTTTAAAATCTAAAAACACAGCTTATTATATTTGGAGAGTGTATAAAGATGAGGACACACAAATATTTCAGAAAGAGCACAAGGACAATATGATTCTGAAATGTCACAAAGTTGCTTCAGAATCAACCAAGATTCTCTCAGCGATTAATGATATACTGAGAAACTGGAGGAAGTAGCAAATTGTTGTGCTTGTCTTTCAACCCGCTGTCATCCTGCCACGAGTCATGCCAAATAAAATTTCCATCCCTCTCCCAGCTTATTATCACATGGCTCTTTCCCCCTCATGCATGGGGAAGTAGTCATTTACATTTTGAAATGCCAGGCATCTCAGAACACTTACGTTTTGTTGAATGGAGTCTTCCATGGTAAACGATGAAACCCAGCACAGGGAGCCTGCCTCCTAAGACCTGCAAATCAGCATCGTGATGCACCCAAGCCAGAAATAATACCCTTCATTTGCTGCAATTGGGTTAGTATCAGTGCTATAAAAAATAGATGATGGAAAACCGAAGCCCTTGACAGAAATACAAGTCTGCTGTGTGTGTGTGTGTGTGTGGCTTCGACAGGGCTGGAGCAGAGCAAAGAAATGCTCTTGTCTACACATTGAACTTGGGCTTCCCCTGTGCTGGCAGCAGATGCATGTGCACAGCGTACTCAAGCTGTCAGGGCACTGATTCCATTTACATAAATGGCAGAGCTAAATACATGCATTTCTGTTAGATGTCAACTGGCACAGAAACTTCAGTCTATGGAATATCACTGTGGAGTGGGCAGGCCAAGTGTTTTATGGTGCTTGGCTTTTCCTCTTTGCTTTTTCAAAAAAAAAAATGTGATTTCCAGCAAAAGAATGATCTGTGGCTTTGGCATAAGGAAAGCTGGAAGTCAGTGTAATAAAGGCTTGAAGGTCACCTGGTCTGCACTGCAGCAGGGTGATGTTGGAAAGCCAAAATGCAAAATAAGCACCACAGACCAGCTGTAACTGTGTGTACTAGTCCTGGGGCATAGAATCAGAGCCCGGAAATGGTCAGAGAAAGCCTAACAAAAAATTCAAAATGAGGACCTGTGTCTGTACACTTTGTCTATGAATACAAGAATGCATAATATGACATAAAAGCATTATAGGGAAACATCATTTGAAAACTCTAACATGATATAAGAGAACAAGAGGAATCAAGAGAGAAAAAGACAGAGAGAGTAAGAGAGATGCATGAAAAATACCTCTTGCTTCTCCAGTGCTATCACTGCTGTAGAACCAGATGTCAAGCCTGAGATCTGTCCTCCTTACCTGTAATATGCACCCTTTCTGTTGTGGCCCTGAATGAACACTGCACTAGAATCTACACAAACTAAAAATACATTTTTGTTTCCATTACCTGCTTTATTTCTCGTCTATAAAGTTGGACTAACCCAGCCACAAACCATACATTGGCCAGCTTACAAGAGCAAACTTGAATGCCCGGCCTTAGAGGTGACTCTTCAGTTGCTCATCGCCTCCCACCCGACCCAGTCCTTGTCTGTGTTCGCTTGTCTTACCTCCTACATTTCCAAACCGGTGGCGTTTGCTGCAGCCTCAAGTCCCTCCAAGGTTGGAGGCCCTTCCCAATTCCCCCAGTTGCCTTTCTCTGAAATGTGTCTCTCAGCTCCCTTGCATTATTTCTGATTGAACTTGTCCCACTGGCTTCTTTTCTCGGCTCATTCGTGGTGAAGATAACAATTTCTAGTTCTCAGAGGCCAGCCCTGGCTCTAAGAATTTGGGTGTGGAGTTCAAATAACCCTTGAGAATCTTATCTTTCAAGCCTGTCAGCTGGCATGTTAGGGCTACTCAATTCCTAAAGCAAGCAGTGAATAAAAACAAGACCAAATCCACTGACCTATGGCAAGGTAGCTCCTGCACGCTGCCTGTGGGGACACGTGGCCTTGCTTTGTGTCTTGTTCTCACCATTGCTCGGCCACTAAACCTGGGACATTGCAAGATGGGGGCAATAATAGTGCCCATTTTATAAGTTGCTCTTTCACTCGCTCATACATTTATTCATTCTTCCAGCAGCTATTTATTGAGTACCTACTACCACCCAGGCAACCGGAATCCACAAAAACCCAGGACAGATAAGAGTCCATGCCCATATAGAGTGTATAGTCCAGTACAGTTTGCTTTGAAGGTTGATGAAGAGACTCCACCAAAACCGTTCACCTTATTGCCTTTGACATAGTAATACTCAGGAGCTGTTAGCTATTATTACAATAACAATCAACTTTTAGCAAAGGTTTAAAAATTGGAACTAAAGATGTATCTGCTATAGTAAAACGGAGAGAAAATATAAGGGAGTCAAGAAAGAGGCGTGTTTGCTAAAATCATTCATGAATCTGCCATGAAGTAGATTCTGACCGTCTGCTCATCCTTGGCCTGTCCTAGCTATCAGAAGTGGCATTGCACAGCTGGGAACATGTACTTATAAAATCCCTACCTATATACACACCGTCTGACACCACCGCACAGCTGCACAACCTCTGGCATGTGTCGTCGCCCACCAGGAGCATGGCGGCAAGCAGCCCTGAGCCCTTTGGGCAAGGTCGGTCCCAGCTCCAGTTTCCTTAGGAGGGATCTCATTTACAGCCATCTCCGAAAGCACCCTTGATCTAAACCTGAGATGGCAAGATCAGACGGTGGGGAAGATTAAGGTTTTATACCATTTCTCTTCATGAGAGATGCTGTCCTTTTTAAGTGACCATATTTTTACAATCATTTCCACGTATTATAATTCTTTGTAGCATCCTAGTAAGAGAAGCTCCTTTTAGAGTATGCTGCTCCCAGGAAATCTGCAATTGATAAGTCGTTTGACCTCATTACCTTTCGGCACAGCATGAAAACCTAGACTGTGGCAGCTCCCTCTCTCCTGCATGCCCACCAGATGCCTGATACACTGTTGATTTTGCAAAGATTGCTCGGCTTGCTCCCGATGAGGGTGGAGAACAAGACAACTCCCTCAGTCAAACAGCCTCAAGCCAGGCTGTGAGCCCTGTAAAATCGTTTATTCCACATTGTCTTTCACTCCTGAGGATGAAGGCAGAGAGCAAAATGTGTGATCTGCGATGGCTGATTGATTGCCTCCTTTCAGTATACACACCCAGTTGCTTAGACCTCATTTCTTCGCGTCACAGTCTACTCAGCTACTTTGCATCCCCCTCTCCCACTCCCACAAATTCTATGTTACACAGGGTGCAGGTATCCAGTGAGGGGTTGGAAACAGCAAACTTAAGAGTCATTGTATTCTTTATTACTCCTTCCCTTCACTTCCCCTTCGTCCTCTTTCACCTCCAGCTTCTCTCCTCTTTTTTTTTGTTATTCTGTCTCCCACTTGCTTCCTAAAAGTTTATGGGGTTGGATGCTATTATAACTATATGCTTAACAATACAACCATGTGAGTGCAGGTGGTTTCAAAACCATATACCTCATTGCATAAGCTACTGGGTTCCTGTAGGATTTGGTAACATAGTAGTTCCAAGCAGCCTTTTCCAGGGTCCCCACACCTACGTGGTGGGTATTGGATCCAGTTTTCTGTATCACTCCATCAGTATCAGTATATGGCTCTGATTATATTATATTTTGTAGAATACTAGCCTAATCCTTGGAGAAAATTTAAATTTAAATATTATTGTTATAGGTGACAAACAAGCTAGCAACAAACAAGTCGCATTTCTCTTTTTGGTTCTCTTTAGCTGGTGTATTTTATTGTTAAGCATACAGTACCCCCGTCCCCACACACAAATTGAAGATACCAACTCAGGCTGCCTGGAGAGTGACCGTGATGAAAATCTGTTTCCTTAAACTCCGTAGTTAACTATCTCTTGGCCAGGACACTGACTGCCGTTTTGCTTTTCCTGAGAAGTAAGGCAGCCCCAGCTGTCACAAATTATGTCTTCCTGGTAATATTTTTGCTCGCTTCACTCATTAACATAACTTCAATTATTATCTTTCTACATTGTAGACTATGGAAAAGGCAGCAGAGAGAGAAATCATAGAAGGGGTCACACAATTACAGGTGCACAGGAGGCAGAGCAGCAAGTGGCTTTTCATCAGGGTCACCTTTAGGCAAGATTTACAGGGGAGAATGTTTTCTCTACACTTGTAGGGACAAACTACGACAAGCTTAGTTCATCCTGGACTGACAGGGTTATGAATGCCCAGGAAAATATCCCTTTGTGGGGTTAGGTCCTACAAGGAAACATCACTTTATGAGACTTTCTTCCCCCATCAACCAGACTGTCCCCTAAACGAGTTTCAGCCTATAGGCTTTAAGCTATAAGCAAGAGACACAACTTTATGTGATGCCATAATTTGAATTTAGCTGCAAATGTCTGAATGTAAGCTCAGACATGCTTGCAATGATCTGATTGGAAAGGATGGAGGGTGCTGGTTCATGGGCAGTGTGCTCAGGAATGCCTGATCTCTCTTGGTAAGAGCATCATAGAGGAGAGGGCACTCTGTCCTCTCTCAGGGACAGCTAGAGGTTCCAGGGCTACACCATTGCTGGTCCCCACCTCAGCCCCAGACAGGTGAGCCAGGCCCACAGGTGATCAGAGCAATGGCTTCTCCTGTCCTCTCCCAGCATGCACTGCTCCATGCCTGGAGTCATGAAAGACGTGGCCCTTTGTCATCTGAACCAGGGATCCTTGCCTTTCTCCCTGATGTGGTCTAAGCTGTGGTAAGAGTTGAGGCACATTTTTTGAGTTCTGGGGTGGTCTACTCTGAGATAGAGAGGCCTGCTCTAGGTGACACTATGGAACTAGGAAATTAGGATGTAACCACACAACATCCAGACATGTGACCCTGGCCTCCTCAGTGAGGACTGGGCTCTAATGAAGCAAACTGTGGCTCAGAGTGTGTCAAGTAGGGTCTCTGGGAATGGCTCCATTTTCAGGAACCTCCTATATCCTCGTATGCCATCCAAGGAGGCTTAAGTCTTTCAGGGACGTTCTTTTTAATCATGCTGGCTTTGATTTATGCAATTTGTTCTTGAAAATACCATTCAGAGTTTAGTGTACACCAATCTTATCCTTCCATATTTACATCTGCTTCTGGGGTGTGGAGTAAGATGAGGTGGGGAGCAGAACTCTGAAACCCTCGCAGGACTGTACAAGCTCCCTGCACACTGCTGCAAAGCGACCCACACAGCCAGCCCAGGCTATCAAGGGAGGGCCCACGGGCAGCTTTAAGGAGCTCGACACTGATGGGGAGAGAAGACTTGGTATGGATTTTGTATCCACAGTTTGACATTAGTAACACTTTAGGCATAAAGAAAGTTGATTTGTGAACCTCAGAATCGTTTTCCCATCCAATTAGATTTTATTAGTGAGTTTCTTATTCATCAGGTTTTTTTGTAATCCAAGTAATAGACTGAAAAATTAT